TAAGTTATTATATTATAACTATTAATAATTTACTTAACTTTACTAATAAAAAAAAACACTATAAAAGTAGTAAAAAATATTACTAAATTTAGTAAAAATTAACTAAGAAATTAGTAAAAATAGTATAAAAGAAAATCCCTATTATAATTTAGTAGCGTAAGTCTCTTTGTTAGTTGTCTTGTATTTAGCCGCTGGGTTTAGGATCACGGCCTAAGTTCCACCAAGGACCGTGTTGTTGTACTAGGCGGCCTGCTAAGTGTCGGGTACTTGTGGACTTTGGCAGTCTGTCATGATGGTTCAAGTACCCGTGCCGTTAAATTAGAAGACGCACGTCCGCCTTCTAATAGAGTTCGACTCCCACATCCTTCACCTTATGCTCGACGTTAAGTCGAGGCTTGCGCTTGGCTGCAGCATCATGCATGCACCCCATTTTCGCCGGTTAGTGCCAGTAGGTGGGAACATTGAAGAGTGGTGCGGCCATCACGAATGCAGAATCGAGGCGCATTGCTTAGATAAAATAAGTACAGCCAATGCCGGCTTCTTCGCTTCCCTCTTCTCTCCTCAACCTCATCGCCAAGGGCTTGCCCTCTTTTGCTACGCAGATTCGTGATTCCACTGGCCGACCGACCAACCGACCGACTGCGTGCTCTACATGTTTGCAGCATCAGCGTCTGGTTCTCGTAGTTGGTCTCCAGCATCCGTCCACCAGTCCTTCCTTCGCTTCGACCTAATCCGTCCGCGCCGTTTCTCCTACATTGTAACCATTTCGTATCGACTCGGTCGCTGCATTGGCATCCAATCAATTCGATACCGACATTTGATATTGTGTGCATCTAACTTCAAGAAGAGGCTCTGGCACGCATGCACTTTGGTGGGGTCTTCGACTCCAATCTCAACCCGCGCTCAATAGACGAAACGTTACTTCTGGGAGAAGCAGGCTTTCAATCCGGAAAGAACATCCGGTGTTTTCGTTTTCATCGCTTCTATCCAGGCTCTGTGCCATCGTTTCTGAAGTGCGTTCTATTCAGGTGCGCAATATACCAGCTACGACAGCCCACATCATAGCAGACGGTCGGTTTCTAATCAGCGCCAACTTGGATCGTTTCTAGCCTCCTCACTACACATCATCTTTCAATCTAGTCGCCGTTGCCGCAGGTCGTTTTCATACTAGTTAGGTCTTACCGCGCTTCTCAACGGGGTTCTTGACTACACTGCTGGGTGAGGCCGATTCTGTTGACGGCGATTCCATACCTGGCCATCTGGACATCCAAGGTCTTATCTCCGAAACAGCCTAGCCACCCGGCTTTTCCTCATCCACCCACCATATCCAGAACAATTCGAACAAAATGACGCCAACACCACCTTCTACAAACTCTTCCACAGGCAAGGGGTCGCCTGAAGAGCAGTTTCGTGTGGTGCGCAAGAGAAATCGAGTACCACTGAGCTGTTATCCGTGTCGTACAAGAAAGTAAGTAAGCCAACGGGCGAACTCCGCCCATATAATGATAGTCATACTAACATTTCATACCAGGCTGTAAGACGACTGGCTAGCATGAACGAAGACTTCCATTGTTTTTACTAACCCATGCATCCAGGAAATGCGATCGAAGTCACCCATGCAGCAATTGTACCAAGCGCGAGGGCAAGGGCACGACATCATGCTCCTACGCAGCCCCCGCTTCTCGAAAGAAAAGTCAAAACCAAGCTGATTCGAGCCCCGACGATATGCAAAATAGGATAGACAGGCTTGAGGGCCTTGTGCTTTCCTTGATGCACAACGGCGCAAATATTGAGACTAACGCCCCGCGTACCAGCTTATCCACCTCTCAGTCAGTTACCGACAGTGGCTCCTCGGCTCAGATAGCGCGTGACGAGGAGGCAACCATGGCAGAAGACGACAGTGACGTGGATGATCATCTTGCCAAGTCCATTGGCGTTCTCAAAGTTGACGCTGATAGGGGAAAGTCAATGTATTTTGGCCAGGAACACTGGCATCTGATTCTAGCAGACATCGCGGAGGTCAAAAACTACTTCACCAGTCACAAAAAAGAACTCGAGTCAAGTTACGAGAAGGTCAGATCATCAAAGCCGGCGACCGCACGGGAAGGGCCTACTTTGCTTCTGGGCGCATCCCCTGCGTCCGAAGTAGAACTGCGTGATGAGCTCCCATCCAAATCAAATGTTCTTGCGCTCTGCAGTCGCTACTTCAATTCCATGGACAATGCTGTCAGCATCATCCATGGACCGACTTTTTCACAACAACTCCGGGACCACTGGCAAGACCCATCGAAAACACCCGTGATGTGGTTGGGTCTTTTATACGCAATATTGTCTCTTGCCATGTTGAGTTATCACAAAGTCGGAGATGAGCCCGCAGAGTGGCGAGGCAGGACATTGGAACTTGCTGCTGAGTACAGATTGCGGACTGTGCAATGCCTGATGAAGGCCGACTACACCAAGCCAGTAGAGTACACTGTGGAGACCATGCTGCTCTACGTTTTTGGCGAGTACTCCTCCCGTTGGGATGCTGATCTCGGCCTATGGATGATTGTATCTTTGACTATCAGAATAGCCTTCCGGATGGGCTACCACAGAGACGCAAAGTGGTTTCCGTCGTTAACCCCATTCCAAGCGGTAAGCTCAGATTCCTGTTGTAGAAGATTGATCACAGCCGTCTGATGCGCCCAGCAGGAAATGAGAAGAAGAACTTGGGCATTGGTTCGCATGGCCGATGTCATTTTCTCTCACCAGGTGTCACTACCAAGCATGATATATGATCACGACTGTGATACGCAGCTACCAAATAATATCTATGATGACGAATTTAACAGAGATACTAGGCAGTTGCCTCCTTCGAGACCTATTACTGAGGCGACTCCAGTTTCATATATGATCGCCAAGGCCAGGTTGTGCATCGAACTCGGCAGTATCCTGCAGGCAACAAACAGAGTAGACAAGGGCGTACCTTATGATGAAATTATTCGTTTTGACGCCAAACTGCGGCAAATCATGCAAGAGCTGCCTCCTCATCTGAAAATCGGCCCTCTGGCCGGCTCGCGAGACCCGGTCATGCTGATTGTTGCTAGATTCAACATTGACATTCTATGCCAAAAGATTATGTGCTTGTTACATCGAAAGTACATCTGCAGAGCAAGGCAAAATCCTCGGTACGCACACTCAAGGAGAAGCGCCATTGAGGCATCATTGCAAGCCATGGAGCACTTGCAAACTCTCCATCGTGAATCGCAGAGCAACGGTCGACTGCGAATCATGAAGTGGTACGTCAAGTCGGTCGCGATCAAGGAATTTACTCTTCCAGCCATGCTTATCGTTCTGGATCTTCACTACGATAATCTCGCTGAGCAGTCTGGGTTGCCTGAAGACACCGAGGGTGCATTCCGATGGTCTCCAGAGGAGAGGGCCAGGATGATTAGCACGCTGGAAGACGCGGCGATCATCTGGAAGAGCCTCGCAGATAGCTCAGTGGAGGCTTTCAAAGCGTCCAAGACGATCGACATTATGCTGCAGAAGTTACAGAACCCGACAAAAAACTCAAACGGGTCATCCAATACGCGCTATGACCTCCCATCTACTGATGCGATTAGCTCCGCATTGGATCCGTCATATGCGTCACTTGGAACGGACACAATCAAGTCAGAAGGACTTATTGAATTCGGCACTGGAATGAGCCCATTCACCAACACCAATAGCAGTGCATTCATGGGGATGGAATTCACCCTTCCCGCTCCGAATCTTGGTGACTTCGCGGGTGACGGGCTGAATCTCATCGGCGCCCAGTCACCATTGTCCATGTTCACAAATATAGGTGCTAGCTCTGGGTCTGGCCCGGAGTTGTCCACCTTTGACTGGGTATGTTAAGCACTGCGTTAGGGATAATGATAGCTGGAGGTTGCACGCTGACTAACAGGGGTATAGGGTGCATTCGAGAATTATGCTCAAGCGGCAAATTGGGGTGCAGACCAAAGCTTTCAGATTTATGGCGGGGAATCAAATGACCAGGAGGCCAACATGACGAACTCCCAGTAGGGTCGTGCAGGGATTGTTACGGCATTTTTGAATGGCATCTGACGTTGTATGCAGCTTGGCATCGTGAAAATAGGAGTCAACAAAAAATGGTGCTCGCTGATTTGATGTACGCTGAACTGACTAGCCTGAGCAAGAATTAATATCACCCACACTACTCTTCAAATCTCGGGTTTCACGTGTTAGTGTGCACTGCATAGATAATTGACAGATGGAAAATATGCAGGAAAATGTGAGGAAGAAAGAGGTGAAGTGATTCTCAGGCAATAGTGACAGCGCCGCTTAGTCAGGATTTGCAATACCACCTACTTATGTATGTACATACACGCAGGTAGGTAAGGGTGTAATTTCATACGTCAAAAACTAATCCGCAAGAAAATCAAAAACACCCTGCACTCATTTATCATCCGGCTCCTCAGCTTGGTGCTTCACCCTTACGTGGCTTCTCATTTTCAATGGCCAATGTTGCATCTGTGGGACACTTTTCGCCCCTCTGGACGATAGGATAGAAAATTTTCTACATCAATCCATCACATCGGGGCAGCTATCTTCCATCATTTGGTCGCAATGGTGCCTGGGAAAAAGGGATCAGCTTTACTATCCCGTTTATTATGCACTGAGACCTCTTTCAGAATCGTATATTAGGATAGCATCTTGCATGCCCGGGTCTGAACAGCATGCGTTTCCGCCAAACCAAACTCGAAAACTACACGCAGCATGCACGAGATCCAGACCACGGCTCGATGGCCGCTGATATATACCATTTGGATGAGCGCGGAGAGCGTTTCATAATCAGGCTGCCCAAGGGTCCCCAGACGAACAAGAATCGACCGAATAATCTTCAAGATGCCGAGCGAAAGAGGAATTTGGCAGGTGGCCCCTCCGCAGAGGAGCTCCGAAGCTCCAAGCGAGTTCGGCTGGACCAAGACGACCAGGAGGCTCCGGGTTCCCCTCAATCTATTCGTCAAAATATGGCATCACGACTCCCAGCGGAGGCATGGCACCATGTTTTTACCTTTGTTCCACCACGTACCCTGGGTAGCTTGATGTTAGTGAACAAACAGTTCAACAGTTACCTCGACCCTTCGTCTGGCTTCAAGTCAACACGTGTTCTCGGCACCTCTGACACCCGCAGTCTCCCGAGGTTAGAATCTGATGCCATATGGCAGGCATCACGACGTCTGTTCTGGCCGCGGATGCCAGCGGCTTTGGAAGGCAGATCAGAATTGGAAATGTGGCGCCTTTGCTGCTCACGAGTTTGCCAGTTTTGCAAGTTTCGTGATGATTCCGCCGCCGATATCTCAGGGGACCAGTGGAGGCGAGGGCCTGGCGCCAAGGGTGTCTCTCCCGTGTTTCCCTTCTTTATTGTGTCGTGTGGTCGGTGCCTTAGGGCCAAGAGTACTACGGTATGTGCCTCAATGTCCCTTGGCAAGGCCTCTCACCTAATACTCCATAGGAGATTGATCTACTTCTAAACTCGTCCACACCATCTGCGCTACTCCCCGGGCTGCCAATGGTCTTTTTAAGCCAGGAGAATCATGTTGTACCTCCCCACGTACTAGTCTCTACCACAAGCTTATCACATGCCCAGCCTATAAAGGTGTTTTGGAATGAGCAAATTGAAAATATCAAATCTGCATTTGAAGATGCCAAGGGACTTGGTCCCGCTGCTGCAGAGGAATGGATCAAAGGCCTTGGGCAGGAGGGTAAACGCTGTCTGGCTGATGTTGCTCGATGGGAAAGATGGCATATTGCTGGCGGCGTGTATGAAATGCACAGACTGAGCCCCAGATCTTGCGTCCAGACTGCTGCCAATAACCAAGAATTGACTACTAGGCGTTCGCCGGACTCTGGACGCCTGGCTATAACAGCCAACAAATCGGTTGAGATGAAGCCTGCAAAGGCTCGCACTAATGGTGAGCACAGAGAAGATTTGCCCGTGCATCATGACTGTCTTCCAGCCTCGGGACTTACAGATCTACCAGCTCAAGAAAATGCTCCAGTCGAGTCGGCTCAGACCACCTCCATTGAGGATATGACAGTATCTGACTGCAAATCGAAGCCAACAAGTGAGGAAGCAGAGATACTCAAGGCTGCAAGACGAGATGAAATTGAGCGGCGGGCAAAAACCTTAAAGCCGCCAATTCTACCGAATGTTCTTGCACATATGCCGGCCTTCCATGAGGCTCTTCAATCAACCAAGCCGCTAAATGCGAAAGCTTGGCAGGTTCTGAGACCGCGTTTCCTGCTGCAGCGAAAGGAAGCAGAGATCAAAGAACGAGAACTTCAAGCCAATAAACGCAAAAAGAGAAAGAAAAAGAAGCCCAAGCATCTAAAGAAAATTGTGTCGAGTACCCATTCTTCAGACGGAGTCCTGGTTGCGGCGGATCCTCATGGTCCTCGGGGTGTTGCCATAGGGACGAATGCCGATTGGGATCAAGCTCAGGGACTCTTGCGAGGCCAAATATCTGAATTTGCCGATGAAATCATCCAAAATGAGTGGCGTATCAAAACGGTGACCGAGGAGAACGCCCCTCAATTTGCGGCAGACATTCTTCTTTACGTCCGCAACAAATTTTACGCGAAAATTGCGAATGATGTCAAAGCAGACAAAGCTTCAGGGATCGAACCACCAGAAGGACCTTGGACCCAGAAGCTCACTTTGGAGGACATGAAATGGGTTTTTGACGAGAAAATCAAACCCTACACCAATGCCGTCCGTAAGAATGTCTTTCGTTGCAATGGCTGTGCAAGAAGCAAAAAGTTCTATAAATTATATGGCGTGCTGTGGCACTATGCCTCCAATCATACAAAAGCCTTGAGTCTGGGTAACTTGGTTATACATTGGAGAGCGGAATGGCCAAAGAAGCCCGTCTTTAAAGCTGATTCACAGCGTTTTGCTGAATTTAGGGCAGAAGCGAAGACAGAGCCTTCGGATAATTCTCTCCTCCGCATCCCTGAACTGCCACAGTCGGTGACAGCGCAGCCTGGCTTGGAGTATAGCCCGTATACCCCGGATCTGGGTATGAGTTTGTCTACAAACCACGGGACAGACGTCCAATCTGCGAAAGCTCCGACTCCAAATTTAGAATACCTGGATCATATTGTCATGGTAGCCAAGAAGACTTGGCGGAAATTGGCGAAGGTTAAGGGGCTCCAGAATTCTGTAAGAGTGTGTGCTGTCATCCACCATATAGCAAAATCTTTCCAGACCAAGCATTCTGAGGCAGCGCCCTTGAAATTGTTCATCAGGGCGCTTAAAACTCACAACTCTATGAGTCAACTTGGCTCTGTTCCTGGCCTCTCATGTAAGCCTTGTAAACAGAACTCTCATTCGAGTCTTAAGTCCAAGGACTACACACTGGTCAAACTCTCAAGGCATTTCGATAGGACGCATAGCAACCAAGTGGTGTCATCCATTGATAAGCCACTCGACTGGCAGGACATGATTTGGCTTCCTGAAACATCAACCTTGACGAACTTACGAAGTGTAATAGGCGATGACAAGGAGGTTCTCGACGTGGTTTCAGATGCCCTGCCGTGGGCGTTTGAGACTCCCGGCTGTGGCCATGGAGCTGGACGGAACGACAATAGCTACGCTGCTGTTAGTCGATCACCAAAAACGGAGTGGCAGCAGCCATCAGCATTGGCTGAGGTAACCTTCAGATGCAGCAACCAGCGTTCTGCGGTCCCTTGCCTGGAACTCGATGGATTTGAAGTTATTGAGCAGCCCGCTGTGTGGTCGAGGCGACATGATCGCATACATGATGAATCCCACACCAGGCTGCCGCAACATGGGATTCCACCACCACCATCGACCCCCAGGCACATGGAGTACCGAAGAACCTGTGTCAACCAGCAAGGATATACAAAGCCCGTCCAGACCATATCTGCAATGAGCAGCCGCTACAACACCCACTTGGGCAATGGCTATGAAAACGACCACACCCATGTGCGCAGGCAGGCACATCACATTCCATACCCTCAGTACGAAAGCCACGCACTCGAATTGTACGAAATAGTAGAAGTATTCGACCCCTACGGCAGCTACTTCATCAAAAGACCAGTTCGGCCTCCCTCCCAACGAGAAATGCACTACGAAGACCGCCCTCAACTATGCGCGGTCTCCAACGAGTTTCAGCGTCAGCACAACCATGACATCAGGAGTGGTGAGCGTACAATGAGAAGCAACCCCAGAAGCCCGGATTACGAGGAATACGATCCTCGATTTCCAGCCGCTTCCTGGAGAGGCTAGACTTACACGGAGATGGACGAATTGGCGTACACCGCTCTAGACGGATATCCGCTTTGTATTAAGTATATTTGTAATTTAGGATTGCTTGCTTTGATTTTATTATAGCCACGGCATTATACAGCGCTGGATAAGAAAACAAAAGCGGAAAGAACCGGCATAAATCATCTTTTAGATTAATCAATGCATAATCACTATACTACTAGCAGGAACCCTGTAGCCCTAGTGTATGCCCGTAGTTCACGTTGGAGTTTGCAAATAGCATCATCTGAACGCAGTAGTAACACATGTTCTTCGATTTCATACAGAGAGAAGATGTGCAACAAGCCGAGTGAAAAGTTGTAGATACACAAAAAGAGGGGCGATACACTATATATCCCTCCCGTTTTCCCCTTCAAAAAGTGCTGAGTGGCATGGCACGTGTAGTTCCATCTTCCATCTCCCACCGCCATAAGCCCCAACCACATATTGTTTCCCTCACAAACACTGATTCACATTTTCTTTCCCTCCTTCGTCATGGTGTACATAAAAGATAACAGAGTTTACAAATCAACGTCCTCTATGCTCTAATCCACGCTGAGCATTTGCAAAAGTATAAAGACGCCACCCCGATCATTAAGTTTTTGGTCTTTTTTCTCTTCATTTTGCTCTTCTTTATAATGTCAACAAAGTGGCAATACCGAATTGACAACGTGACGGGATCTTACGGGAAAACAAACGAAACCGGGACAGTAATTTTTGTCTTTCGTTTATAAAACTTCACCAATAATCTTGGCGGCTTCCCTGTATGTTTGGAGGAGCTTCTCGCACTTCTCGCGCTCCTTCTTAACACCATCGTCCTCGTACAGGAGCTCCTCGAACAAACTCTCCTTGTATAGCTCGCTGACGAGGCGATTCTGAACAACATCTTTAGAGTGATTGACCAGGAGATGCATGATAGCTTTAGGCACTTGATCGGCAATAGATTCTCGGACAATGTTGAAGTAGGAAGAGATGAGAGCCCGGATGAGCTCAGTTTCCATAACCTCACGGTCGGTCATGGCGGGCTCGTTAGATTCACCCTAACAATTGAGAATGTTAGACGACATATCAGCATTATCAAACATCGGTAGACTTACAAGATGTGACGCAAGGCCGTAGCTTCGTCCAGTGGGATCATACTCGTCAACTTGAGAGTGAGAGGGAGCAGGTCGCAGTGCAACCCTCTCTTCTCGGCGAATAGACTGAGATATGCTTGGCTCAGAAGACTGGCTGATGTGCCTGCCAGGGTTTGCATGGCTGCCAGGCAGGGCACTCTGCAGAGTAGCGCCATCCTTGCCAAAGAAATAGTTCAAAAAAGTATCCCTGGCACCCAAGCCTTGACCGTTAACCCGTGAAGGAGAGTTAGGCCGGATACCATTGACAGCAGCGGCAAGGCTTCCATGAGCATTCTCGTGAACGGCGGGTGACAGGCTCCGGCCAGATTTAGAGTTCTGCTTGCGGCCATTCTCGCCCTTTTCTGTGACACTGCCATCTTCCCCATCCTCTGTTGGCTCTCCATTGGTGCCGAGCTCCTTGAGCCGGCGCTTCTCCCGACGCTCTCGCTCTTCCTGGATCAATCGTTTTCGTTCACGTTCTTGTTTTGCGCTGACAACATTGCTCATGGCTGCGGCGGCACCAAGGAAGTTGGGATGGTTGGTATTAATATACGCCCGCTGAATGGAGATGAGAGATTCAACGTAGGAAGAGGCGGGGCCAAGTCTCTCCCGGAGCAAGTCGGATACCGTTTCGATTAACTTGGCTTGCAATCTAGGAAATCGCGAGAGTTCAGTAGATCCACATGTGTGGCAGATCTTGATCAACTCCTCATATACAAGCTCGACACAGCGTTGACTGGGGATTTCCAAGAGTTTGATCTGGGGCTTAACCAGCAGATCGAAAGCCATCTCGGGAACGAACAAGCTGGGTCGAGGACCGGTCGAGTTCCGGATGGCGGTGCGGATATCCAGGGCGGTAAGATTAGAAGTAGGATCGATGGATTCAAGCGAGCTGCCAAAGACAGAGTTGAAGATGTAGTAAATTCGGGCACCACCGCACAGCTCCTTGGTAGAAATTTCAGTCGAAGTGCCATCTATGGAAGAAATGAAAGAGGTTGCAAAGCGAGTCATTTGTTGCAGGATGAGCGAGCCACGGTGCTCCTTGCCACTAAAGGCCATGTCACCGTAGCTAGCCAGCTCTTGCTGAGTCTGGCCCATAAGCGTATTCAGACGAGCCTTGATATCTGGCAACCGCTCTCGAATATGCGACATAAGTGTGGAGTTGAGGGTCTTGGCCAAGAATTGCGTACCGCATCGGTTGGAGATGTTGCGATAGGCCGGATGGTGCTTGAAGAAGTCCATCTCTGCCTGAAGAGCCTCCTCCATGGGTTTGTTGCCTTGAATATCCTGCTGCGACCGGTTGACAACACCAATGAATCCAAGCTTCAGGGGGTAGACACGGCCAGAAAGGATATCGAGCGCGTTCGTACCATGGTCCATCAGGTCCAGTTTGGTCAGTACACCGATGGTCCTTCTGCCAAGGGCATCCACATGTCGGGCGAGCTTCAACGCCTCCGAGTTAACAATGTCGACATTGGCCGGCGACACAGCCAAAATAAGACTGTTGGGCTTGGCGATATACTCGGAAATCAGGTTTCTCGTTTGTTTCTCGATATCGGTGGGCTGATCACCAATAGGCACCTAGAGCAGGAAGAACAAGTTTTAGAAACGGCTTGTATGCAGGTATGCTGGGCAAACAAGTTTTGCTCAAGGCTTACCTTTGTCAGACCTGGCAAATCAACCAGGGTCAGGTTAAGAACATGGGGAGAGTAGATTTTGAGGTTGATGGGCTGCCTGTTGATGCCCTTATTGCTACCGGCGACTCGTGTGGTTTCATTCTCAATCTCTCGCTTGACATCGGAAAAGTCATTGAAACGTCGGTTAGGGATATGATGGAACTCGGCCCACTCGGATCGCCGGGCGGCGGCTGGTGATCTGTACGGGTCGAGCGTTGGATCGGGGGCGCTGTCGTCCTCGGGGACGTTGATGAGCTGCAGGATCAGGGGCCGGCGGGTGACGATGCCGCTTCCTCTGGGCAGGAAGTCCCGGCCGACGATGTTTTCTAGAACCGACGATTTACCAGCCGACTGTGAGCCAACCACGACCTAAAATAACGCTGTTAGTTTAGGAACTAGTGCCAATTGCTAATTTTTTGGTCCACAGGGGCTCACAATCTGTGGGAGGTCAAGGGAGTCGCTGCCGATGGTGTTGAAGACCAAATCTTGCAGCTTGTTGACGGTGGTGAGCAAGTCCTCGCCCAGGGCAGCCATGGCAACGGGGGGTCGCAGCGTTCAACTGCGACAATGGCAAAAAGGCTACTGGGAAAAGATTAAAACCGGAGAGAATGGAAGACTGCAGCTGGGGTGGTCAAGTGGCCGCGGGCGCGGAGCACGAATACACAACAAGCAAGCAAGCAGCACGTAGTCGAGAATTGCGCTGCGCGTCGACATTGAATTTGGAACAGAGACTTTGGATCCAAGGAAGCGCACTTGAGCGACGCAGGCGTGGGTCTCGAGTTGAAGTCCAGTGTGTTGGACGTTGCTGGGAGTGACTTTATCGGTGGGCCACGCGACCGCATGCACAATGTACACACATTGGCCGGAGTACATACGGAGTACATTTCATGCGACAAGAACACCCAATCCACTGTCTTCAAGTACCCGGATGTAACTCGGTACCTGCTTGCAGGGTATTTCCTCGGTGTTCACTAGGTTCTTCCAGATCTACACAGACATACTTGGGTAGTATTCTGGCGCACCGAGAGTTTGCACTACGGAAAACTACGTGGCATGGGGCACAGAGTCCTGGCGGCGTTGCCATTTCAGCTCTGTTTGGAGTTGGGAGCCCTCAATGTTCCTTGAAATTCCGTACTGTGGCTCCCCCGTCATCGCCTTGCAAAGGTCATTTTGCCCCGGCTGCGTGTTCTCATGCGCAATCTATGATGTGTGGCTTATTTCCAGGGCCGCCACAGGCACCAACTGACACACCCACTTTGGCCCTGTCGGCCAGCTCGGCCACGCAGATTCAGAATGCTGACTTCTTCCTCAGGCCACATGCATCTGCCTGCGCCACACCGTCAGACTGAACCACGCTGCTCAGCCCACCACATCCAAAGGCCAAATCCCTGCTTCAATTCACAACATGCGCTGTGAATATCCGGCGTGAGCAGATGCAGACACAGAAATCACCAAAGCCATGAGTACATTCGGCAGTCCAGGAAGTCTGCCGTCGACGAGGCCCAAGCCGTAAGTTGACAGGCCCTGTCCGTCCAATCGAGGGAGAATTCAAAGACAAGTCTGACCAGCAAATCCCACTCAACCAGTCCGCAGCGAGGGAGTTTCCCTTTGGACCACGATGGTAAGTTGTTGAGTCGAGGGAGAACAGGAGCAATTGTCCTGATTAGTCCATCTAGGCGAATGCAGGGAAGTAATGACCAACTACTTGGCTTGTATGAAAAAAGTGAGGGGTGTCAATGAGGACGAATGCCGAAATCTTGCCAAGGCCTACCTGTCTTGCAGAATGGACCGGTGAGTTATGTTTGACAAGTGGGCTTCTCAGCACTTGAGGCTAACCGAGGAATTTACATTTCTTCCTTTGCCGTAGAAACTTGATGGCCAAGGACGAATTCAAAAACTTGGGTTTTGCGGAACCGTCAAAACCGGACCAGACAAAAACACAACCAGAGCCTGAAAAAGGCGTCAAGGGCGAGCTGAGATGGTAGCGGCTGGGCCGGTCTCTCGTTGTAACACTCCTATGTATTATAGCTGTTGTTGATATGAAACCATCACTTGCAACAGAACAACCGATGACTGTGATGGCTTTGATGACGCTGATTCGCCCGTCTCGCGTGCTCGCTCACGCTCTTGAATTGCCGTCCCATTGTTCCATGGTGGATCCCCGGACCGTTGGTGGCGCGTTGCCTAGCCA